ACCGCTTAGATGTTGCAGCCGGTGAAATACCGGTGACACTCCGAGAAGCCACTATCGGCGGAGACGGGGCGAGCGCGTCGCCGGCGCAACTCTCAGACCGGTTACCGGCCAGCCTGCCGTAGTCGAGCGAAGCCTACTTCGAACCGCTTCGAAGTTTTACGGTGCAATCGCTGAAGATCGTACTCCGCCTTGTTCGGCGCTCGCCTTGTAGTTGACAGCTGCGGTGGCAAGGCGCAGAAGACTGTTATACATCCCAGCAGCCTTCATTTTTTGTGAAACACATTCTTTGCATCGCCGGTGGTCGGTGCTAGCTCGTAGCGCTTGCCGCGGTGGCCAGCGCACAGTGCGAGTTCGATACGATGCCGGCTTGATACCGACGGCATAGCGAGGCCTTCTTACCGCTTAGATGTTACAGCCGGTGAAATACCGGTGACACTCCGAGAAGCCACTATTGGCAGAGACGGGGCAAGCGCGTCGCCGGCGCAACTCTCAGACCGGTTGCCGGCCAGCCTGCCGTAGTCGAGCGAAGCCTACTTCAGACCACTTCGAAGTTTCTGATGGTGAAACTCCAGGAGCAGCCGCTGACGATCGTAACAGCTTACTTTTGCTTCCATTAATTTATTCATCGAAGTTTTTTGTTACTCGGCCCTTTGAAGCGCGGCATTCACGACGTTTCGTTGAGGAATTGGACCGAGGTGCAGCGTGGTTCAATGGTGCGAAATATATTGAAATGTTCCCAGTAAATACCAACCGGTCGTTGCTATTCTTCGCTGCACTTATAATTTCGTCGCCTGTTGACAGATGCTTACACGGTTAGCCACACAGATCACATGTGTTTCACACCGACGTGCAAACATATGCCCGTACAGACACATATACACACACACACACACACACACTCACACACACGCACACGTCACGCCCAAAGAGGGTTTTTAAAGCTCCTATAGGGAGTTTGTAACCACGTGACCTGAAACTCCCTGGGGAGTTTAACAAGGTCATGTCGTTCATAAACTCTGTGATTAAGGAGGGGGCGTTTTACGATGACATGTGCCGAGTTCACTCCCTGCCACGGAGTAAATAATTGGGGCAGGGGAGTTTTGTGGGCTCATGTGCTGGAGAAACACCCATCTCGGCTAACTTTCGTTTACAGTGAAATAATGTACAGTCAGAATCACACTTGCCTAGAGCAGTGGAGCGCGTGGCTGTGGACGCTGTTGTTACCCGCGGCGTGTACATCCCACGCTACTAACAACCCACTTATTATCAGATACCCATGCTCAATGTGGCAGCCATTGGTGATGTTTTCTCCTGCGGTTAATCATCCGCGCAAGCGAATTTCTCCCCAGGCCGCCTCGTGCAAATGCCGTATCACCAAGCGCTGCAAAACAGTCGCCTTATCGAGAAAAAATGAGTCGGTTGGAAAACTGACTCCGCAGTACTAGTGCCCCACTGACGTCTATCACTACGAGCGAAACACAAAAAAGAAAAGAAAAATGCGGTAAAGACAGACAGGAAATGCTAGAAGGCAGGATGCGGGAAGCCAGATACGCGTCGTATCGGCAACGCAAAGCAACGCGAGACACGTGTCTGAGAGTTGACACGCTTTCTCGCGGAGCGAGTCAAGATATAGAGAGGTGATCCATCATTGGCCGAAAGGAAACGGCAGTCGATCCACAGGAAGCTACTGGGTCAAAGCACTCTTGCAAATACACCAGCGCGTAGAGGAAACGCCTTAACAATTCGTTCTGGAAGCAACGATGTCATTCGTAACGAGGAAATGCAAGGTTTTCCTTCGCAATGTTGTCATCTTTCTCACCGTAATTGTCTGTTGTTCGAAATGAATATATATATATATAACAAAAACAGATTAAGACATCCTGTAGACTGCCTATAAGCTGTCTATATCGATGTTTGTATGGTGAGCGAGAGGCATTGTGACAAGGAAAGCTCTTTTTTGCGAGGTTATAAACGACGGCATTTTTGGCATCTGCACGTGTTTTTATTTGGCACTTTGGAATATCGTGCGCGTTAACGTTTATCTGCGTTAGCGATTGTTTTCACTGCACATGTGTCATACCATATATTTTCTGGCGAGCCTCCGTCAAGTGAAGAATATAGCGTATACGTACGGAACGAGCGCTGTCTCTGCACGCACCCTATTCTAAAAGTGCCTGTCTTACCAATGCTAATCGCAACCATCGCAGCAGTATTTAGCTACTCTTCATCCCATATAGCTCAACCTTAACCAGTTCTAATTGGGCAATCGTAGAACCCGCAGCCAAAAAAAAAAAAATCTGAGTACACACACAGTTTATGGCTTTCATCAGTTCTTTTTATAAAGACCTTCCCAAACAAGCTTGATAGAATGCGTATTATACCTCTAGAAACACGTTCGTCACATGTTACAGAGCAGCCGGATACCGCGACGCAGCCATGAAGAATACCAAGTCCAAGAAAGGGCAGTGGTTCGGTGCCAAGAACAAGAGAAACTTTTGTTTCTTAGATCAACCGAAGCACGGCCGACAGCGCGGACTACTCATAAATTTTATAGTCCGGACGGACCGGTCTAGCTATATGTCGTTACCGTAAAAGCAACCGGACCAGTAGATCGCTATTTCGCGAAGAGCTATTTTTTTATGCAAAGGCTGTTGGCGGTCGATGCATTAAACCGGCCCTCAGAAAAGCATGTGACGCCGATTGTACCGCGCCTTTCTAATGCACATCACGCGGAATCGCGAGTTGGGCTAGTCGATTTGATGTTCATCGTAGAATAATTTCCAACGCAACGTTTAGTTACAGACAGTGAAGAGAGACAGCGCTGTGCTCCATCACTGTCCGTATCTAAACGTAGCGCTGTAAATTATTCTACGATAAACACATCACGCGTTGAGTATCCCGTAGCAACTGTTGTACACGGAAAAGCACGATGCTACTCGCCTCTGTTTCTGGGAAGCCAACTTTCTACGAAGCAACTGCGTGAACAGCCTCGAACTTGGAATGCAATGTTCGAAAATATTTCTAAGACTCGTGCGGAAATGATTAGCCGACATCATCACGATGCAAGCATCTTCTTGGCTGCTAATGCCTACGCAAGTGGAAAAAATGTATCCTTTATGTATCCTCGTATCATTTAATGAATGCATCTGCTGTAGTGTTCGTACGATTCGGTCAGTTACAATGAACTCGTATGGATTGTACACGAGTTCATTTACTAAGAAGTATTCCGGGTAATAAATTTAAGCTAAGTATGGAATCAAATGCCCTGAACTCGGCCGGTGCCTACCGTAATAAAAAAATGAACAAGCTATAAGAAAACCAGAAAGCATCAACACATCCTAGAACGGCACTCAAATAATTCAACATCTTCGTATGCAAACATCTCGCGCAAACAACACGTTCAGTCCTGGTGCGCTTGTATATTCTTAAACTTTGCCAATGCCGCACCGTGCCAGGCTCTGCCTGACGGGTTTCATCGCATGTGCGCAGCCGCGTTAAGAGAAAGCAAAAACAAAAGCTGAAGTCGATAATACGCCGCGTCCTTGACTAAGACCGAGATCTACCGGGAGCGCACAAGCACCCATAAAATACGAGGACGTCTGCATCGTCGTTATCTGAGCAGCGATCGCGCGCCATACGAAGAACCAGCCAACAAGTTCCAGGGGAGAGACCACGTGACCATCGGGCTCATAACCCCTGAACGATGGCGTAGTCTAAATGACTTGTTTGCTGTACCGAACGCCACTTTGTCCACGACAGTATGTTCAAACCACACAACTATACCGGCACGCTATGCCCATGAGATACCACAATAGCGAAGGACGCTTGCGTAACCGAAGTTCCAAGATTTCTGTGTTGACAAGAACGGCCGCAGCAACTGCGTGGCCGTGGCAGTGTGCCACCGGGGGCGAGGCCATTGGCGCTATACACGGTGAAGGGTGCCACATTTTCAGTATTGTATTATTCAAGAACGTTCCAGTGCCATGCTTGAGAGCACATCAGTGATTCGCGTCGAAGTTACCTCTGTTGACTCCCGTACCAAATTCCTCGCAATGGTACGGCATGTTAAGCAACAGAAAACTATTTTCTGTGTAGTGGTAAAATCCAAAGATGAGTGCTCAGAGCAAGGGTGATACACTTTGCAAGGACTCGTCTACTAGCTTGAGTACTAGTGGCTATTTTGCATTGAACACACCAGCAGTACGTAAGTATCGATAACGCTGCCAACAAAGAAATTCCTTGCCAAGGTCCACATTCCGCACAGTGATCGCTGGTTAACCAGACAAACCACGCCAGTTGGGCTCGATGGGATAGTCCAAACTAATGTAAGAACAAGTTTAGTCATGATTATATGACGGCAATGACCGAAAGTGACACGCACTGAGGATGATGTAATCGCGGGGACGCCAAAACTCAGGGCCGATGTCAATATTCTGAAAATAATTCGCAAGCAGTAACATATCAAACAGGCGCACCCATTCGCAAGTCCACACCACGAGACATCGAGACCTTTTGCTAATAATAATAATTCGTGGGATTGAACGTCCCAAAACCACCATATGATTATGAGAGATGCCGTAGTGGAGAGCTCCGGAAATGTCGACCACCTGGGGCTCTTTCTCAACGTGCACCAAAATCTAAGCACATGGGCCTCAAGCAATGCCGCCGCCATCGAAAATGCGGTTACTGAGGCCCCCCTTTCTCTCGTATAGGAGAAAGCATGACTCCAATACGCATACATGCTCCATTTCTCCGAACGAAGATTACAAGCCTCGCCCTGAACCCCATAGAAAAATGCATTCTAGACAGCACTCGAGGTATTGTCCAAGTCGAAAGGCAGGCAACAATCTCCGGCACATTCTCATCCGAGAGCATAACCAACAGAAGCACTCTTGCTGCGACGATGACGAGCCATCGGGGATGTTAAAGACAATACCGTACCACTGAAGATGAAAAATACTGTTCGCACACTTCCATATGTAGCGATTCGAACCCATTACCTGTTGCGTTGTCGGTTCCGTCATCCTGTTCGAGCGCGTGGCAGAAGGCCGCGACGGCCAAGCCGGCAGCGACGAGGGCCCACCACCGCGTAGCGTACGAAGAACTTGCGCGACACATCCTGAGTGCTTAGCGTGCGGACCCCGAATGCGGCCTGCTCTCTGATCGCGGGACGCCTCTTTCTTTTGCCCTTCGCCGCCGCCGTCCGCAACGCCGCGCTCTCGGTAGCGCCGCGTGGCTTGCGCCAAAACCCGTTTCCCAATCGGGCCTGTCCCTGTCACGGACACGGAGAAGAAGGGCGCGCTGCCGACACACGGGACCGCTCCGAACGCGTCTCGTAGAGGAAAGGAACGATGTGCTCCAGCCATGTGAACGATGCGGAAGGAACATGGAGATCGGTACGCGGCTTTTCTGGAGAAATGGGGAGCATTGACAGCATTCGGGCCACTGGACATTGAGGCGGCACATTGTGATGTGGAAAACATTGCGAGAGCCGGAACACGTAATATTGAAAACCGGGGTGGAAGCAGACGTAGGAAATGGTAACACAGAAAGAGCCGCCCTTCGCACTTTCACTTTATTTCTGCTATGTCCATGTTTGCAAGACATTCTTGAATGACATGGAGGAGGACGAGGACAAGAACAAGAGAGAAGGCAAGGAAGTTAACCAGGCACATGCCCGGTTTGCTACCCTGCGCTTGAGGAATGGGAAGAGGGGACGTAAAGATGATAGAGAGAGGAAAGAGAAGAGAAAAAAAAATGCCGCCATATCCACGAAGTGAATGATGATGAGTGGGCGAAGCTCCGGAGGTAAACCTGGTAAACCATGAATCCTCCGTACATTTTGCCCACTCGATTTTATTGCAACGCTCCCCCTAGCGTACGTCGCCGCACGATATCGAACGATGACACGCGCCATATGTGGCATCATTCCTATTTTATAACACCTCGCATCTTTCATAATCAACTACACGTACCGCCGTCTAGTTTATAACATCTTGCATCTTTTGGACGGACGGACGGATGGACGGATGGATGGATAGACGGACGGACGGACGTACGGACGGACGGATGGACGGATGGATGGACGGACGGACGGATGGACGGATGGATGGATGGACGGACGGATGGACGGATGGATGGATGGATGGACGGACGGATGGACGGATGGATGGATGGACGGACGGACGGACGGACGGACGGACAGACGGACGGACGGATGGATGGATGGATGGACAGACGGACGGACGGACAGACAGACGGACGGATGGATGGACGGACGGACGGACGGACGGACAGACGGACGGACGGACGGACGGACGGATGGACGGACGGACGGACGGACGGACGGACGGACGGACGGACGGACGGATGGATGGACGGATGGATGGATGGATGGATGGATGGATGGATGGATGGATGGATGGATGGATGGATGGACGGACGGATGGACGGATGGATATGGCTGTACCCTTTAGATCGGGCGGTGGCTAGCGTAATACTTAGAACTGAACGAGAGGTGGCTACATACAGGGGACGCACAGCTCACGCCTTAAGGAGCTTCGCTCGTAATAGAGAAAAAATGACATGGCTATATAGAAACATTTGCCTACTTTCGGTCGTTATGTCTGGCGCGGTGGTGTCGTGGTTCGTGTGCTCGGCTGTTGACCTGGAGGTGGCGGGTTCAATGCCGGCAGCGGCGGACGTATTTCGATGAAAGCGAGATATTCAGAGGCCAGCGCACTGTGCCATGTCAGTAAACGCTAAGTAACACCTGATGGTCTAAATTTCCTGAGCCCTCCTCCACCACGGCGTCCCTCCAGCCGTACCGTGGTTCGGGGACGTATAACCCTAGGTATTACTACTTTCTCTCTTCATAAGATCAATGCACGATATAAAGTTTTTAAAAGGCGAAATATTTTTTTCAGATATCTGACCTTGAAGCGTATACTATCGTAGGGAAAAACGTTTATCGAAATAAACATATCCGTACCTATAAGCTTGTTCCAGGATATACAAAACACTGCTGCGCTTTTCACGTTTTCCTTCTTCCACTTAATAGCTGCATGAATGTCTCAGAGTGAACCTGTTAAAATGAACGCGTGCAGGCATAAAGGCGATGAAGTGTTTCATCGGATGGTGCTTTGGTACCAACCAATCAGCAATCTAATATGCGATATCGAAATACCCCGCGAACCAAGTGGAGCCAACGCCAAGAGGACCGACTGACCTGCGGAGTCATTACGAATTAATTTGAAACAACGAAGCATTTTCTCAGCAGCAGCATCAAAAATTTTAAAAAATGCATGTCATGATTGACACCATTGTTTCTGCAACGTCCACAGAGTGTAGAACGTATTTATCACTTCGTGCTATTTTTTGTTTGCTTATTGTAATTTTAAAGAGACCAATGTACAAGAAGAAATCGCCTTGTCAGCTTTGAGGGCAGTGCTAGGTATTCGCAAGATTAACAGTATGGGCAACGTGGCCAAAACTCAAATATCTTTCCTTCTTCACTTTTTTTTTTTTGCCGGAGCTACAGAAACTGTTATTTTATTTCACTGCTAAGCTATTATACTCAGGCGCGTAGCTACTGAGGAAGTGTTGTCACGAATAAACAAGGTTAGCACACCTCAAAAAGTGAATTTTCACTATTCGAAACTGACCTTTTTAATTGAAGTCCTAGAAATTTAATACGTGAAAAGAAAAGCGATGAAAGAACAGAAAAGTATAACCTAGGCAAACGTTCTCCCACATCTGTGTGTGTGTGTGTGTGTGTGTGTGTGTGTGTGTGTGTGTGTGTGTGTGTGTGTGTGTGTGTGTGTGTGTGTGTGTGTGTGTGTGTGTGTGTGTGTGTGTGTGTGTGTGTGTGTGTGTGTGTGTGTGTGTGTGTGCGTACCTATGGAAAGCGGGAATCTCACTTAATATCATTCCGAGAAGAATGGCATCACATATTCATCATGATTTACGTTCATTGATTCGTGGTCTCGCTACTTCCCGTGAATCAGGCAGGGTCGGTTTCTCGTCAAGTCACTGAAGCCACTTTTTTTCCGAGTTTATAATCTCACGCCTTAGATCCAATTTCATTGAATTGAGTCGAACTGACAATACTCACCGTGTACGAATGTGAAAGCGGCCCCTCTTTAACGGGTCTCAATGTTCCGAGGATAGCCATTAAGCTAATACTCAAATATCGTTTTCCAAAAAAAAAACATTACATGGCATGCAAACACGTGAAGCTCTCTCTGTAAATCCGAGTTGGCGAATCGGCGCGGAAGCTTGCGTATATTCGTAGGTCTCCGCGTGCGTGGAAGTCCAGTGTTTTTAACCAACTGTGAGGTGCTTGCATTCGCTTTTTAATGAATAAAATGAGAATTTATTGCTATATAGTAGGCAAAATGCGCTCACAAAAATTTGGCTCCATCGCCTTATTAAATTTACATTAAAAATAAAATTTTTAGAAGAAAAATTGAACGGTAAAAATTTCATGCAATTAAAATATCATACATAAACTATGAAAGATATTTAAGGAACCTTAATAAAATTACAACAAAGACATAATTACTAGGAAAACAATAACCACACAAAAAAGTTTTAGGAGCAAAAAAAAAACTCAAAACGCCTGGTTAGAAAGTAAGTAAACATTTTTCTAAACCTAGGCAAGTCTACCAAGGCAAGTCTACAGGTAAAGCCCTGATCACATAAGAACAAACCTGAGTCGATAATGTTTACATAATGCCAGTCGGCCTGAGAAAAAAAAAAGATGCCTTTTTCCTTGAAGTCATCTTGAGTGAATGCGTAGACATTCTGCTAGTTTCGTATTCGTTCAGTTGTTTGTGACAAGCCATATTCAAGCCGTATTACAGTAGCGACTTGGAGTTGTGATCACTGCATAATCTTCGGATGATCGAGCCCAATAGTGGCCACGAGCTGTGCTCTGAACCCGCCTTGTTTTCAACACCCTGTACTCGACTGCTCGTTTTATCGTTCTCTCCACGTGCCGTGATTGCAGCAATGGCTGCCATACCAAGCCTATTGGCTTCGATTATGCGAGTTTATCCACAAGCGATCGGCTTCCGCAGAAAGGGTCACGACCGCCGAATGCTGAAGGCTGTCGAGTATTGGCAGCGCAAGGGCATATGGATGTGCTTAAATACGAGCACATCCAAGGATTGATTGATATGGGGGTTTAACGTCCCAAAACGACCTATATGATTATGAGGGATGCCGTAGTGGAGGGTTCAGAAATTTCGACCACCTGGGTTTCTCTAACGTTCACTCAAATCTGAGCGCATGGGCCTGCAACGTTTTCAGCACATCCACGGAGACCAATGTGAGCAGTCGTGTTTAACGAGTGTAATGGCACGGTGTAATAACACGAATAATGCCTGTTTCATTGTGGAGCTGTGCATATACGGCTTAGATCACGGGATTTCATCGCTTTCCTTCGAGAGAACAGTCGATAGAAAACCACGAAACGAATTGCGTGGAAAACTATACCTCTTTCCGCGGGAATAACGCGTGCGAGATTCATTCTTATTGATGAACAACAGCATCATTGTCAAAAAAGCAAGCTACAAATGGATAAGTAACCACTCTATGTGCAGTTTTACGTCCCAAACCCATATATGATTGAGAGACGCCGTGGTGGAGGGCTCCGGAAATCGAGACCACCTGGAGTTTTTTCTTTAACATGTACGCGTGCTTCGAGAATTTTCGCCCCCACCGTAAATGCGGCCACGGCGGGGATTCGATCCCGTGACCTTAGGGTCAGCAGTCGAACACCATAGGCACCCGATCCCCCTGGCGAGTACATGTAATGTACCTTTAATTTATAGCTATTAAACGAATTTCATGCTGCAGTATATACTTTTTTTTTTCATTTACTGTGTCTAAAATGCAAATGCTGAGTACGCTGAAACAAAGGATGCGCTGAGCTTTGCCGACAGTCATTGTGGGCATTAAGTGAATACAGCGAAAGTGAAATAAAAAAAAACGCGCGTGGCAATATGAAAAAAAAAAACGATTTATCACCATTGCATCGTTTACCGAGGTGTTAGTGTCGCACAAGCAAGCACGAACGATGGCTAACCATTGCACGAGGGTAGCACTCTGCTGTGGACGCCTAATAATAAACAAATAACAAGAATGAAAATGTAATAGGAACTTGATAACCGGATGTATAACTGTACGGGTGTTCGCTGAAGGAGGCTGCAAAGCAA